TTACTGAAAGGCATTGCCTGAGCAAAGAACTGCAAAACCAATGGGAAGTAGGTTAAAAGCACAGGGGAACAGGCTTTGGGACAATGCCCGTGATCCAGCCTGGGTGTCAGCACTGTCCTGTTCTCCTCTGCCCCCCAGAAAGCAAAGGCCTCCACCTCCACCATGGCCTCCAGGGTTTCCCATCACCTTCCTCTGCAGGGGAAGGCTGGGGGGGTGCTCTGTGACATCAAGGGAGGGGTGAGGTGGAGTGAACAGCTTCTCCCTAAATCCCGGAGATCGAAGAACTTTCTTGAGCACTGAATGCACTGCATGTTTTAATCTATACCGAAACTGGGCCCCAATCTGGTCTACAAACTCTTTCTGGAAACACCTTTCATGTCCAGTAACGGGGTTGGTTCAAGCACAGTCCAATCCTGGTCATGATGTAACAGTGAAAACTGCAAGAAAGGTGTTCAAGATACTTTGTAAAGGGAAAGAGGCAGGTGAGAGAGTAAGGGGCTCTGTAGTGTTTGTAAAAGGGAAATGTGCAGGTGTCCAAGTGTGCACACTTGTTTGTGTGTGATGAAGAGAAAGCTCTAACGAGCTGTGTTAATTGACGTTCCCTCTGAATAATGGAGTTATGATACTGGGTGCTTTTTATTTTCTGTATTTTCTTAATTTTTAGAAACATAACAACTGCATATTATCAGAAAAAAACCCCAATAAAGTTGTTGCTGTTAACTATGAGAGCTTTCGAAGTAAGATATTAAAGTGCATGTATCAGAATGCTATAGGATTTTTCTCTGGGTTATGAGATTAGCAGCCTCTTAAATTAAAAAAAGTATTTTAAAAATCTGTCATTAGTAAATTTTGAGCAGTTTGATATATATATGTGTGTGTGTGTGTGTATATATATATTTTTTTTTTTTAAGATTTTATTTATTTATTTATTTGACAGAGAGAGAGAGAGAGGCAGCGAGAGCGGGAACACAAGCAAGGAGAGTGAGAGAGGGAGAAGCAGGCTTCCCGCTGAGCAGGGAGACCGATGCGGGGCTCGATCCCAGGACCCCGGGATCATGACCTGAGCCGAAGGCAGACGCTTAACGACTGAGCCACCCAGGCGCCCATATTTTTTGTTTTTTTAAGTGGGCTTCACACCCAGTACAGAGCCCAGTGTGGGGCTTAAACTCCCGACCCTGAGGTCAAGACCTGAGCTGAGATCAAGAGTTGGATGCTTAACTGACTGAGCCACCAGGTACCCCAAGCAGTTTGGTTTTTAAAGACAGCATCTGTGGGTGACACTCCCCCTAAGGATAGTTCTCAGAGGCTGATTCAGATTCTGGCTGGGCTCATAGGACCAGGGCCAGACCTGTGGCCAGACCTGTGGCCAGACCTGTGGCCAGGCAAGGCAGAGTCCGGGGGTCAAAGACAAATTTACTACATTTCAGACGAGTTGAGCTTCATGTGCCGCTCGGGCCCGGGTTCGGCTTATCCCCACCCTGGTTGTGGAGGGTGCTCTTCTGTTCTGAGTTCTCTGTTGACCGTCCTGGTGAGTGACAGTCTTATCTGCCCAGCTAGGTCCTGGAGCAAGCCGGCGATGTCCTTACCTGGGTGGCCGACCAGCAGAGCAGAAAGCAGGTGGGGCCGGCCATAGCTGGGGTGGCTGCTGCAGTCGCAGAGGGTGTGTGGTGGGGGCCACGGGCCACCCTGCCCTGTTGTCTCAGCGGCTGACGTCCTGTGGCCCAAGGACTATTGACCTGCCCTTCCATGGCTACCACAGTGTCGGGGGAGGTGCTGGGAAGCCAGCAGGTGCAGAGGCCAGCCAGGTGACCCTGGAATAGGACAGTGGCCTCAGCTAAGGGCTTCTCAGCTGTCTACCAGGGCACAGAGACTCGGAATCCAGCCAGCGTCAGGCATTCCTCTGAGCCTCCTCTTCAAAATGAGGGTAATGGCTGCTAGCAGCTGACGCTTGAGAGGGGTGTCAGCACCCAGCTCCCTTGCGCGCGGTGACCTGAGACCATGTGAGAGAGTGAGGGCAAGGCTGACGTCACCGTGGGCACCCTACACCACCATTTTCACAGCACGGGTCAGCCCTGTTCTGTGAAGGTGGGGCTGCAGCAGCGTGTGGATAATAGGTGGATTTGAGGGGGGCGGCTCTTGGAGGCTGGTGGTCACCCTGAGAATGGGGCTTGTTGCTGAAGGGGAGGAAGAAGGAACAGACAGACCTCTCCTCATCTTGAACTGGTCAGCCTCCCAGGGGGCGTTCCGGGTCAGTTCCAGGGGGAAATGGAGGAGGGAATCACCAGGCAGTGTGTGGGTTCTCCTCCCCCTGTATTTCAGTGTGAGTTCCTCGGCAGCACTACCCCCACTCTGCCCCTTCTGCAACGCCTCATGCTGAAGTCCAGAACATTGAGGGTTTGGGGGATTTTTCAGCATTATGCTGTATAGGAAGAGAATCATCCCCTCTCCTCTTCCCACAGGGAAAGAAAGACCCCAGTATGCCCCTTCCTTTACAAAAGCACACGGGACTAGAGAAAATAGTAATGAATATTAATTATTGAAATCCACATAGTTTATGTAGAGACTCTTCACAAGCCTGGCACAGGGGGAGGGACAGAGGGTCACTGTTCCAGGTCACGGGGCTTGGTGTCCCCTGCATGGCCCACACTCCTTTTGGTATCTCCTGGAAGGGTTGGGGTTTGGAATTCATCCTCCACGAAGCGGTTCTAGCAGGAACTGGAATGAGATACGCTTCCCTCAGAAGCAGGGAGGTAACTCCTGCAGGAGCGAAGTGATAGTGGCCCTCGTTTGTTGTGCTTCCTAGAACACCATGGCCTCCTCTCTGCATTGGAAGTGAGTTCTGGTTGTAAGAAAAGCTGTCAGCACCCTCACTTGCCCAGTAGTGGATGCAACATACTTACTTTGTGTTCACTTCCAGTCCTGCTACCTCCTACCTGCTGTGTCCGTGGGAATTCTGTGCCCCTGGGGCACTGTAGACCTTTATATGTGAATGGGTATAGCTAGCAATGGCTGATGCTGTGCATATCCGCCCTGCGCCATTGTCCTTTCAGACTTCACTTACCATCCGTAAGTTTAAAGATAAAATAATTAAGAATTTCAAGATTGCCGTGGCCGTGCATTAAACCATAGGGTTTGCATTTATGCACGAATGCATTAAACTGCCAGGGGCCCAGGCACGAGGAAAGTGTGCTGCAGAAACTGCTGAGCTTGGGCTTCGTGAACACTGTGTGTGGATGGGGCAGTGAGGGGGCTCAGAGACTCTGCACTTATGGTGCATCCATTTCCTACAGATGCTGAGCCCAGGGTCTGTTCTCAGCAAGGGACGGATGAGGGTCTTGTTTCACAGGTTATTGTCAGTACTGCCTGCCTGTGTTGAGAGGTTCTGAGCTGCCCAGGCTCAGTGGGAAGGGAGATGGACCCCCCACTTTGCACCCCAGACCTCACACCTCCTTCTCAGGGTAGCTGAATCTGTGCAGAGAAAGCAGTGGTGCCTGACCAGTCTCTGAATCTGGCTCCCTGGCCCCTACCCTCTGTCTGTCCTCCCTTGTGCAGCACTAAGGCCCTTGAAGACATGGCCATTGAAAGTTGTGCGAGAACAACAAAGAGGGAGGGACTTGTATTCTCAGCATCTTTGTGCCAGGTTATGCCTGTGCTTATTCAATTTCGAAGATCCAACCAAAGGCTGGAGTTACCATTCCCATTCTCCGGATGATAAAACGGGCACACAGAGGTTGAGGATCTTGCCCTGTGTCACACAACTGGGGAGAGCAGAGCTGAGAATCAAACCCACTGCGGTCTGATATGGATTCCATATGCTGTACACCATGAGATGCCAACCCTGATGGGAAAGCAAGGAGAGAGAGAGAGAGAAGCTGCCCCAGACGGAGCCAGGCACACAGATGGGCACATGCTCATGTCCACCCCTGGTGTTCACCTCTGAGGCTGCAGATGTGGGAGGGAAACTGGAGAGGAGCCAGCAGAGGCCAGAGGTGGAGGGTGGCAGCAGAGGGCAGGGGTCTATTAGGGAAAAACACCACACTTCCCAAGAGACCAAAGAATTCCCTTCCCTGATGAGTCTGTGTTAAATCCTAGATTTCTCTCCCTGCCCCAGAAATTGATTCTTCAGTGCTCTAACTAGATTCACTCCTGACTTACACCTTTCCAGGGGTTCAGTTTTCCTGTGGAGACCTGGACCAAGAGTAGGAGTTCTCTGGTCTTCCTGGACCCTTCTGCTTTCAGTGATAAGGGGGGGAATGAAGTGCATGATATGGACTTCGGATTCGTGTGAACACAAAATTTATTAGAACAGGAGGCCAAAAAACCATGGAGGAGATTGCTGTTGACATCCCCAGAGCACTTAAGGAACCTTCCCCTGTTTGTATACCTCATCTCTTGTCCTGAAAGTAGAGAATTTCTTTAACCAGTTATATGCGCTCTCATTATATCTTGGGGAGTGTAAGGGCTCAGTAGGCTACCTCTGAACGTCCCTCAGAGCTGGGGTCTGGAGTGTGTGGTGGCTACATTTGTTCTTTGGTAGTGGAGATGCAATTTATTGGTAAAGCCTCTGTGTGTGTCCTCTGGTGTGTGATGAGACGTGATCTCTGTGTAAAGCCTCGCCCACACTCCCTGCAAACGTAGGGC